AAAGAGTCTTTAGTGACTAGTTTTACGGTTTCAGAAAACAAGCTGCAGAGAATCGAAATCATTTGATCGGGACCACACAGCGAGGGTCCGCAAAACTGCGCGGAAGACTCAGTGCCACCAGCGGCTGGGTGGCCCGAGGGAAGGCACCGATCACCAAGGCAATTTCTCGAGGACTTTGCCAGTGTCTGAGCCAAGAAAGTGCAAGCCTGGGGCTGGGCGTCACTGAGAGTAGATGCTCTTAACCGAGCAGGTGCTTGGAAATCGGGGGCTCACTTTCGAATTTCGCAGAGGGAAAACCGCCTTCCGTACGGAGAAACTCTCACTACTCCAGAATGCAGGCGCCTGCACCCCACCAGCTGCCCTGCGGCCTTGGTGCACATGGTTACACACGGTTTAGTTGGGCCGAGGCAGAGGTTGGGATTTTGGCAAATGTTCCCAGGAACCTTCAGCCAGGTCGCTACTTAGGCCCGGCGCTGCCAGACGGTTTCTGCGCAAAGTTGGAGGCCACATCCCCCTGCTTCTATCCCGGAGCGTCTAGCTCTGCCGCGGGTAAACAGACCTCGCACCGCTGGCGGCAGCCCTGGCCTTGGCCGTCGAAGTGGCTCAGCCGCATCCTTCGCCAGCAGGTCCGCCAGAGCCTCAGCTCCCAGACGCGCGCCACTCTTCGCAAAGCTGCGGAAGCGGACAGGCGAAGGTTGGGACCTCCGGGTTTCACTGCTGCGCTCGTGGTGGCCGCGGCTAGGTCTCCCCGCTTCGGCACGGAGCCGGCGCTCAAGCCTGGGCGACTAGAAGCGCCGGGCGCCCTTGGAACTCAGAGGCCCAAGCCGAGCGGCAGGCTCCTTCCTCTGTCCCACTGAGACCCCGAGTCTAGGGTCAAGGTGGCTGCAGGCACCCTCTCCACCCTACCGTGAAGCCACCTCTTTACCTTCACTACTCAAAGCTCCTCCACCCAGCACTACAGAGAGCGCTTGGTTTGGGGGCGAGAGCACGGGGCTGCCACCGCCGCACCACCCAGAACTAATATCTGAACTTCTTTGAAGCTTACTTTATTTTTCTTTCTTTTTTTTGAGACAGGGTCTCACTCTGTCGCCCAGGCTGGAGTGCAGTGGTGCGATCACGACTCACTGTAGTCTCGACCTCCTGAGCTCAAGCAATCCTCCCATCTCAGCCTCCCGAGTAGCTGGAACCACAGGTGCGCTCCACCACGTCTCACTAACTCATTTTATTTTGTAGAGACGGGGTCGCTATGTTGCTCAGGCTGGTTTTGAATTCCTGGGCTCAAGCAATCCTCCTGTCTCGGCCTCCCAATGTGTTGAGATTACAGGCGTGAGCCACTGCGCCCTGCCTAGGCTTAGTTTGTCCATCCGCAAATTGGGTAGGGCATCCGAATCTCGCAAGTTCTGTGCGTCGCAAATCAGAGCTCCTTCTCAGGCCCTGGACTGGGAACCGACGACCCGGAACCATTCCCACTAGCGGGAAGGGAACCGCGGGCCCCAGAGTTTGCGGCGTTCTCTCCCGAGGGCTCTGATTCGGTCAGGTCCCAGTGGCGTCCCCCAATCCCAGACCCTACCCGCTGCGCGGCCTCCTAGGGAGAGCTGATCCTGGTCTCACTCCCAGGCCAGCAGCCTCGCCCCTTGCAGACGCCTTAGGCCCAGGCCTCCCCGCCTGCCTGTAGGGCCCCAGGCGCAGCCTCGAAACCAGGGCTCCGGGAGAACCCGCGCTATCAGTCCGCTCGGTCCCCGAAGCTGCCTTGGTCTCCCTGCCCTGCATCTGTAAAATGGGCGCGGCTTTAGAGACGTTGGGACTGAGGCTGGCGTTCCCAGATCTCGCCGAGAGGCCGGCTGCTTCTCGTCCTCCATCCCTTCCTCGGCCGGGCTGGGCGACAACACTCGATCGCCTGCCTCCCAAGCTTTGGCCCAAGGCTGGGAGAGGTTAGCAAAGGAGGCGCCCTCGTGGTGCCCTTCAGGCTACTCCAGATTCCTTCTTCCTTAAGCTCAGCCTCAGGGGAGCCTGCCCCCTCCAGATATTACCGTGTCGGATCCTGCCCAAAGCCCGCATGGTTGGGGGCCGTGGGAGCTGTGTCCCCGACTGAGGACTGGAGTCCTAGGACTTCAGTCCTGCGCAGCCACGGAGGAAACGACGACTTAGCTGCTCGGCACCCCAGGAGGAGAGAGTTAGGCGTCAAACGCCCTTGCGGCGCTGGGCAATCTCTCCCACCGGCTGGGAGCGCCCACACTGCTCTGGGTAGACGTGGGCGAGAGATGGTCGCTACTCGGTCCCATATGAGTGGGCTCAGCCCGGTAACTGGAAAAAAACCCGTAGCCCATTTCTGGCTCGGCAACGCTTGGTGGAAGCAAAGCGCTGGAAGATGCCAAACGCCGCGAAGGCACTGGGTGCGGGAAAGCCAGGCGTCCCCGAGTTCTGCAGCGAGACCAGCTCCCCATCCCCGGCCTGCCTGGACGCCTACCCCAGGCAGGCTTCTCGGCCAGAGACCTTCTGCGAAAAGCTAGGCGCCCGACAGAAAGAAAAAGACAACGTGCCTGTGTCTCCAAAGAGGACCAAAGAATCGAGGGCTACCCGGGCAAAACAACAAAAGTAATTTTGAAAAACAAAAATTCTAGGTCTTATAAGAATGATTCGTTGGGCTGGGCGCGGTGGCTCACGCCTGTAATCCCAGCAGTTTGGGAGACTGAGGCGGGCGGATCACGAGGTCAAGAGACAGACCATCCCGGCCAACATGGTGAAACCCCGTCTCTACTAAAAATACAAAAAACTAGCTGGGTTTGGTGGCACGTGCCTGTAGTCCCAGCAACTCGGGAGGCTGAGGCAGGAGAATCGCTTGAACCCAGCAGGCAGAGGTTGCAGTGAGTCGAGATCACAGCCACTGCACTCCAGCCTGGCAACAAAGCGAGAGACTCCTTCTCAATAAAAGACTCTGGAGACTCTAGGGGAAGGGTGGAAGGGCCGGGGCTAAAAGACTACACATTGGGTACCGTGTACACTGCTCGGGTGGTGGGTGCACCAAAATCTCAGAAATCACCACTAAAGAACTTAGCCATCTAACCAAACACCACCTGTTCCCCCAAAACCCATTGAAATAAAAACAATTAAGAAAAATCCCGCTAGGCCTTATTATGGAGCAACAGAATAAAACAGAGGGGAGCTGGACCACGACACCCGTCTCCCAGGAAGGCGCTTCTCCACCAGCAAAGGCAAGCAAGCGTCCCTCTAGTCCTGAGCCGAAGGACCAACCTTTCCCAACCCGATGACGGCGTTCATCAAAATTTTTAGTGGAGAAAATAAAAGCATTTCAGGGAAACACTCACGGAAGAGACCCGAAGCTCTGAGTCACCCCAGTCCCTCCCCGGGCGTCTTTCTGTCCCCAAAGGCGCAGATCCCAGACTAGCTGGGCTTGGAGGTGGAGGTGAAGGCAGGAGCGCTGGGGGTTCAAGGTGTTTTTCAGGCGCCCTCCCCTTCCTTGGGCCCTGCAGGTGTAGACAGTCCCACAGCCCGCATAGAACGAAGACTTGGAGCACCGGGACCCGTAGGGTGGCGCAGGGCTCTGGCTCTGAGGGAGGCAGTAGGATGAGGCGGGTGGGGGCGCTTGTGGAGTGGAGAGGGCTCTGGGACGCGGCCCGAAAGTGTTTCGCCTTAGGAGCTACTGGGAGCTGGGCCTGGAAGAGGAAGGGAGGGAATCAGGGAGAAAGGAGAGAGAGAGAGAGAGAGAGAGAGAGAGAGAGAGAGAGAAGAGAGAGAGAAAGAGAGAGAGAAAGAGAGAGAGAAAGAGAGAGAGACAAAGAGAGAGACATAAAGGCAAATTCGACAGGCAAGAAAGGGAAGACAAAAGAACAAAAAGAGGACAATGGAGAGGAGAGGGACAAAGAAACCCAAAGGGACACAGAGGGCAAGAGTCAGAACTGGGGAGAGAAAGGAGGAGAGGACAGAACAAGAAAAGGCTGAGGGCAATGAAAAGCAACGCAGGACGCACTCAACTGAGAAACATTGTAAAACTGTAAAGAAAAGGAGAAAGACACAGCCGAACAGAGAGACCCAGAGTAACATACAGAGGAGAAAACACGGAACATTGTAGAGAAAGAAACGGAAGCCGGAAAATAAGTTTTTAGAAGACTGAAAGCGAGAATGATAAAAGAGGGGATGAAACAAGAGGAAATGTTCACAGACTTTGTGTGTTCGTCGTGGTTGGTAGGGGTCACACGCTCCCAATCCCGCCAACCTGAAACTTCCACCTCTTGAGCCACGGTGGAGCTGGGTGGACCCGGCCACGCGGCGACCAAACCAGGGCTTAGAGTTTTGAGTTCCAGGAGCCCCGCCCACTTCAGCCCAGTGACACTGCGGGAGCTGTGGTGACGTCACATAACGTCATGCTCCGCCTGGGGTCCCACGCAAACCCGACAAGGAGCAGGACCCCCGGGGTTGTGCGCTGCATTTGCTCCCCAGGCGTTTGGGACACCGAGGACTTCCACCCGCTCTATGCGCAAAGCCTGCCCACAGCGCGCCCAGACCAGCCAGAGCCAGGTCCTCTCCGAGGCTCCGGGGAAAAAGAGAGAGGAAAGCGGGTTGCAGGGTGAAGTGGGGCTCCGAGTTCCGGCTTGAGTTCCAAGAAGTTCGAGCCCACCCTGTCTCTCACCCCCCAGGTGGATTTGACCTAGGGGAGCCTAGGTCGGCCCAGGCCCGGCCCTTCACTCCCCAGCCCGCCCCAGCGTTGGCCCTCGGCCTTCCGGCCTGGAGCACCTTTCCCACGCCCAGTCCCCATCCCGCGGGCACCCAGGCTGCGGGCGGCCGGCACCAACTGACCTGCACCGCGCATCCTCCGCCGGGCCCCTGGCCGGGGTTGCAGCCGAGGTGAATGCAGACGAACCTTGCAGAAGTGGACGAGCCCTGCACACCGCCGCTCGGCTTCTACCGCCGTAGGGGTGGGGCGCAGGGCCAGGGGTCGCCGAGCATTATTGGAACCAAAACGAAATAAAAGCGGCGTTAAGTGAAATAGCTAACTTTTTTTTTATTATTAAATAAAACGACTTAAATAAAAGGAACCGAAAAGAAGAAGAGTGGACCCAGCCTAAACGCAGGGTGCCCCGGGCCCCTGGCACTTGCCCCAGCTGCCGGGTCGGCGGCCCCTCCTCCAGCGGCCCCCGCAGGGGAAGCAGGTGGCCAGTTTCTAAAGAAAAAAGCCAAAACTTTTTATTATTTACACGTTTGGGCAAAAGTACAAAGTATAATACAGGCGCCCGGCCCGGGGGGTGCGGGCGGGGGGCGGAGAAACGTAAGGCGCTTTCTTTGTCAGGCCCGGGCCTGGGGCGGGACGGGGCGCGGAGCGGGGGCTCGGATTGTGCGGCCGCGCGGAGCCCGGGCCCGACTCCCCTCCGCGGCCGACCAGTCAGCAGCCGCGCCCTGGGGCCCACTCGAGCTGGACGGCCCCTTCCCCTCTCGGCCCCGGTTCCCCAGCAGCCCGGCTGGGGGGGTCCGGGGCGCCCCGCTGGGTGGGGGCGGCGTTCCTTGGCGACTGTGCGCGCTGGTGGGCTCACACCAGCGAAGTGACGGCGGAGACCTTGGAACTATCCTCCTCCCAGGGCTGCAGATTCTGCAGCGCAAAGAGCGACGAGTTGTGCAGACAGAGCGGGTCGGGCTGGATGGAGTCGTTGAGGCTCTTTTGGAAGGCGTCGTGTTGCAGCTGCAGCATGAGCCGGCTCGCCTGCTGGCGCTCCGCCTCCCGCTCCTCCGCCGTCTGCCGCCTGCACCGGGGGAGGGAGAAGGACAGCACCGTCAAGCACCCGGCACCACCGGGCCGCCGGCGGTGCCCCGGCCCTCCCGGGAGCGGAGGCCTTCCAGAAGCCTCGAGGCGCAGAGCGCGTCTGCCTCCCAGCCCGCGCTTTACGCCCGAGGCCCTCATATCCAGGGAGCGGGTTGGGATCATTTGTTTTTGTCGTAAGCCAGAGGGTCTCCAGGAGGGGACTCTGCTCGCTGCCCACCTGCACGCCTGGATATTGTGCCTTCACCAACAATAAAGATTGTTCCTTTCGAGAGATAGCAAGGGCAGGGCCTACGTGTAACTGACTTGGCCCTGCGAGCACCGGGGTTGCTGGGGTCTGCGGGTGGGCAGGCTGGCTCTGCACTGCCCGCACGATGCCCGGGGTCAGTTTCATCCAGTTCACCCAAGGCCGGTCTTGAACCCCTTTCCAGACTCGATCGCTTCGCCATTTACGGGTTGAAAACAGATTGGATAAAAACGCGGCTGGAGTGGAGACGGGGAGCTAGAGGGGGATTGTTGAAAATCAGAGAGGGCGGGCTGGAAGAGGAGAAGGAGAGTGCGAGAGGCCCTTGTGTGTGCGTGTGCGTCTCTCTCTCTCTCTCTCTCTCTCTCTCTCTCTCTCTCTGTGTGTGTGTGTGTGTGTGTGTGTGTGTGTGTGTTTTGGGGGGTGGTGAGAGGAAATCAAGCGAGCGCAGGAGACGGAACAAAACCCGGGGAAAGAGTTGGAGGGGCTCACGAAAGATGGGGATGGGCTTGGAGGAGAAACCGAGGCGTGGAAGACCAAGATGGAGAGAGAAGCACAGGCCAGCGAAAAGGGTGAAAGGAGGAGGTACAATCTGGGAAGGCGGGGTGGGAGTGTGCCTGGGGGAGGCGTGGGAGGGCGGGGTAGGGGACAGCTTTAAAATGGGGCGAGTGCAAGGCTGCGGTTCGGGGCGGGGCAGGTGAAGGGCAGGTGTAAGGTGGGCTGGGTCAGGCCTCTCTCACCGCCACTTGGTCCTCCGGTTTTGGAACCAGGTCTTGACCTGCGCGTCCGTCATTTTGAGGGACTTGGCGAGCGCCGCCCTCTCGGCCGAGGCCAGATACTTCTGGCGATGGAAGCGCTTTTCCAGCTCGCAGATCTGCACCCGGGAAAAGGACGTGCGCGGCTTCTTACGCTTGGGCGGCGTCCGGTTCTGGTAGGGGTGCCCGATGCGCCGGGTCACGGTGAAGGGCGTGAGTGCGGCCGCCGCTGTGGAGACACACGAGGGTCCCTGAAGCCCAGCCCGACTTGGCCACTGTTCGGGCCCCATGCGGACGCCGTGGCGCCCAGTGGGACACGGAGAGCTCCGCTATTTCGCTGATCGCGCGCGTTTCCAGCGACACCAAGCCAGTCGGGAGACGCCCTCGCCCCATGTCCCTTCCCCTGGGCACAGGCTTATTTTCCTGGAACTCTCCGATTACCCTCCCCACTACGGCTCCCCGGGGCCCGGGGGTCGAGGCCTCTGCCGCGCTTGGGCCTCTGGAATGGTTTCCCGGAGTGGAGCGCACAGGGCGCGGCGCCTCTGGCCCCGAGAGGGCGGAGGCCTGGAGCCTGGTCGCCAGCTCTGCTCACCTGTGAAACGGTCTTTCACGAAGCGGCGGCTGCTCTCCATCCAGGGGAAATTGAGGCCTCCCAGGCTGGAGACCGCGGGCACGGAGGGCATGGCGGGTAGCGCACTTGGCAAAGGCGGCGGCACGGCCCCGGGCAGCGGCCTGTGCGCCGGCACCCGGATCACGCCGGCGGGCGCCAGGCTCAGGTTGACACTGTAAGATCCTGCGTCCTCGAAGGGCGCGCCAAGGCCGGCAAAAGAGGCGGGCAGAGATGGGTATGTGGCGCCCGGACGGCCCCCGGGGGGGCCTCCCAGGTAGCTGGCGCCGTCGGGGCCCCGCGGGGCGGATGCGCTGTCCTGGTCCGGGCTGTTAAGGATCTGGTCGATGCCGAAGCTGATGGGCTCGTGCGGGTGCGGGGTCTGCGCGCTGGCGGGCGCCTCCATCCTGGGCGGGCGGAAGGGCTGGGCTGGGCTGGGCGGGGAGGCGGCTGGGTCCCGGTTACGGCGCGGCCATGGAGCGCCCGGCGCCTCTCGTCGCACTGAAACTTTGCCAAGAGTGCGCGGGCCCGACAGGCTCTGTGTCATCTTTCTTGAACCGAACCTGGAGTTTCCGCTGCTAATTCCTCTCCCGCCGCAGCCATTGGCTGCGATCAACAAGCCTCTCTCCTCTCATTGGCTCCCGGCTTTCAATAAAGGCCTAATTCATGGAAATAGGAGCTTAGGGACTGTTCCAAGGTGACATCATTTTAACAAACGAACAATAGGTCAAATTTATTAGCCAGGATAATGGGCGGCGGATATTAGCGCCCGAACCGCAGCCTCCCAAACCCGAAATCTAACGAAGCTGCAATTAGCAGACGCTCCCCGCTCCTCCCGGCCGGGGCCGCTTCCCAGACAACGCGCTGGGCTGGTAGAGCGCTCCGCTGGTGAAATTGTCTTTTGCTGAGGGGGTTTTCGTTTTCTTCCAATTTTCTTCATCTGAGCAAAAGCCAAACCAAATGAATCCTTTCGGTTACAATGGAGTTGCAACCCTGGAACGACCCGGCGGAATCCGCAGAAGCCCCTTGGACACTACAGCCGCGGAAGCAACGAAAGGGGCGCACTCCCCGGCGCAGGCTTCGCGTTGCCTGCGCGCGGGGAGAGGGGAGCACCATAGCGTTCTCTGCGCTTCGGAGGACGCCGACCCGCGTGGGGAGAATTCGCCCCCGCCTGGGTTTCGGCCGCGGCGTCGCGGCCACTTTGGAGACACTCCCTGGCTCTGGCCAGGCGGACCGAGGCGTGACTCGCAGGTGCCCACGCGTGCCAGCTGCGGCTGGGCTAGGGACGCGGGGTCGCCCGGTGGGGAGCGGGGACCTGGCTCTCGAAATTCGTTGCAGGATGGAGGGGCTGTGGTTGCGCGTGGGAACCCGCTTGCGGCTCGGAGGGTCTAGGAACTTCGGGTTCCCGAATGTCAAGGCGGGGCGGAGGGGGGGCAGCTCCTAGTTAGAGCAAACAACGGGATTTCTTTGGGAAACGCGAGTGGTGAGCCCCTCCCTGCTCCAGTCCAGTCTGGGCGCTGGAACCACTCCCCGTTCTGCTCGCGCCTCAGTGACTGTCTATCCAGGCCCGGGGCGCCGTGGACAGGACCGCACACGGAGTAGTCACCTTCCGCTCCAGCCTTGGGGAGACAAGCAGAATCATTTTCTTCCAGCTAATTCCAAAATCGTTAGGTGCAAACTCTTTGAATGTCGCACTCCTGTCCTGGGCTCTTCCTCCCGCTGCTTGTGGTGCGGACAGTGGTGAGAGCTCGGATGTGCTGTTGGCCAGAAGTGTGTTCAAATTTGGACTGGCCACTTCCTAGCTGAGTGACCTTGAGCAAGTGATTCCATATCTTTAGGGTTCGGTTTTCTTGTTTGCAAAAAGGGAAAGGCGTGCTTGCGGGGTGTTTGTGAGCCGCGAGTGAGATACTGAGGGAGCGCAGAGCATTGGCCCTGGCACGTAGTAGGCACTGGACAGCGTGGCTCACCTCCCACTCCATCCCCCCAGAGTAATGGCTGATGTATTATTCTTATGACTCTTGTTTATTTTGTTTGCAGTTTTCTGTGCAGGGGCTCAGTTGAAGAGAAAGGTGCATTTGCTTACCAGTAGGGTCATTTTCAGAGGACCGGGAAGGTCAGGAAGTGCAGGTTGGGGATTCTTTCTCTCTTCTCCCAATAGGCCTCCAGTCCTGGGTCTGGAGTTAGGTCGCTTGCCCGCTGTGTGACCTTGGGCAAGTTTCTGGCCCTTGCTGAACCGTTGTGGTGGGTGTGGAGAGGGAGGCCAACAGGAAGGGTGAAAGCCGCGAGAGGCCTGGGGTCTGGGTACGCGCTGCCTCACTCCCTTCCTGTGACAAGGACCCTCAGATAGGGTAGATGCCATTGCCCTGGTCCCGGGCTCTCCTGTTTCTAATTCAGGCTCTGCCACTGGCACTGTGGGTGCTGTTGAGTCCCTAACCACCCCTCCTAGGACCTCATTTTCCTTATTTGTAAAGGAAAAAGGGCACTGGCTACCCCCACGGTGGCTGTGAGAACAAAATGAGGTAACATCCGTGGAAGTGCCTCTGAGTAACTCTGGAGGTTATATAATAATAACTTTAATGACAACTATAAAGCTACTGTAGCTGAGAACCTGTACCAGGCAAGGAGGTGGACACTTACTTATTCTTCACAACGACGCTGCGAGGAAAGGGCTGTTAGTGGCTCCAATTTCTAACTGATGAGGGAATTGAGGCGTTGAGGGTTCAAGGAAAGCACAGCTCCCCACTTGGGGGCTGGAGTTGGCACCCCACCAGCTCCACTTCCCTTCTGGCTTCCAGAGTCCTGGACTCAGGGCTGCCCTTGTCACTTCAGACACTGTTAAATCAGGACAACAAGGCCCACCGCACAGAGGTTTGTGATGCGGAATGAAGGTGTGGGTGGCCCAGGGCTACTGTCAGAGTGTGTGCTTGAGAATGGGCTGTGACTCAGGGAATTATTCATCCTCTTTGTGCCTCAGTTTCTTCATCTAGTAAATAAACCTCATGGGATTAAATGAGCCCCTCCAGGTAAAGCCTGGCATGGGTCAGGGCTCTGCCTCATTGCTGGGTTCTGGTTTCCCGACATCCACGGTTCCTCATCATCCAGCCCTGTCACCCAGATGAAGGAGCTTTGGGCCACCAATCATAAGCCTCCTTTCACGTCCAATCCAGATAGAGAGCTGCCTAGCAGTAGCTGGGGTAAACTGGGTCAGATATTAGTCCCTAGGACAGTGGTTCTCAAAGTGTGTTCCCAGAGCAGCAGCAGCAACAGTGTCACTGGAGAATTTGTTAGAGATGCAAATTCTTGGACCCTCGCCAGACCTATGGAATCAGAAACTCTCGGGTAGGACTCGGCAATCTGTGTTTAACAAGCCCTCCAGGTGATTCTGATGCCTGCTCAACTCTGGAAGCCAGTGCCCAGAATATTGTCCATTTCATCCAAGTTTTAAAATTTATTGTTATAACGCTGTGGGAAGATTCTCTCAGAATTTGAAACTCTCATATGAATCTGTTCTAATGCCTTCCACTTCTCATTCCCAGTGTTGCTCATTCCTGCCTTCTCCTGATCATACCTGCCAAAGGTTTGTTATTTTGTTGGTTTTTTAAAAAGCCTTTGATTTCATTATCCCCTCTTAAAATGCTACCTCCTTCATGAATGTTGTGGTTTTAAAAATTACTTAATTTCTTCTTTGAGTTGAAAATTTAATTTGTCAACTTTTCTTTCTTTTTAAATAAACGCATTCAAGGGCATACATTTTCCTCTAAGCACTGTTTTGGCCAGATATGTTCTGATAGTTGGTGTTCCTGAGGCTGTAATTTCTTGCTGCCCTTGTAATTTACCTGCTGTCACTTGAACAGTGAGGCACACACACTGAAAGAGATTAGGAAATGGGAATTGTAAGAACTGGGGACCAGGATTCATGGGGCTAGAGAGACTTTCAGGATGCAGCATATCCTCTCCTCTTCCCCAAGAAGAAGCTGGGAGAAAGGTGTACATCTGGTGGAGGCTTTGCCAAGAGTCATTTAGAAGAGGGTGGGGCTTCAAGGATGACAGGCAAGATGCTGGGATTTCCAGCTGGCGCATGAGCCCAGATGTGGGAGGCCAGGTTCTTCCAGGCTCATTCTGCCACTGATTTCCTGAGTGAGATGAGACTCCATTTCCCTGTTCGTGAAATGGGATAGAGATTGAGTCCGTACTTTAAATGTATTTGGGTCAGCTATCCTATTTGAAACATGGATGGAAATATTGTGGTCTGCTTCCATAGGAAAAGACAAAAACACGTAATTTGGCACACACACCATGTCCCAGGCTGCTGAGCTGCTCTTGGTTCACACACCCTAGTTAGGAGTCCCTAGAGGCCCTTCCAGCTCTTCTGATGGAAGGCTCTAGACATCTGCCCAAATTTATTTGCCCATTCATTTATTTATTCAATGAATATTTACTGGGCACCTACTCACATTTCCTGGACCATACCCCAGCTCAGGGCCTTAGTTTCCCCATCTAACAGTGGGGACAAAGCAGTCTGAGCTCTTCATCACTGCTTGCCCCAGTGGGCAGCACTTGGGGAGGAACCTTCCTGAGGAGGTCTGATCAGTCTCAAGACTGCCAGCCAGTGGAAGGAAAAGGCCTTCAGGTCTCAGCTGTTGCTTGGGACCCCCCATTGCGGGTCATGAGGCTTCAAGGACAGCCGGCTTAGGGAAATGGTCTTTAGTCCAATGGCATGTAGTGGAAAGGGATGAAGCCGGGATTTGAACCAGGACTGTTTAGACTACAAAGCCCACTCTTTCTCTTTTACCTCTCACCCCTATTTGGGAGCAGGTGGTAAAGATTCTAAGTCACAGGACTGAGCAGGGAGGGGAATCAGTGCAGGGTCTGGGTGGAATAAGCCCAAGAGTGGGGGTGAGGGCTGGCCATAGTGGGGCTCACTTTTCTCCCTTACTGGCCTGGGGGTTCCTTTTGGGCAAAATGGTGTTGGTGGCATTTGATCCCATGTCCCAGGGCTGGGCCCAGGGCGTGGAGGACTGGAGGACATTATCAAGAGTTTGTGGTATTAAACTCAATAGCACAAAGCAAGATCAGACAAGGGGATAAGGAAAAGGGGTCTTTGCATGCACTCAGCTCGGCATTCACCTCCCCCAGCCCCGCCCACGACTGGTTCCTTGCGTCCTTTACAACCCAGGCCAGCCCTCACCTCTCTGCCCATCCTCTAGAGCAGCACACTCACCCCGTCATCCCCCTTGGAACTCATCTTATTTATTCTGCTCACTAGCTTTATCTGTGCCAGGTGAATGAATGATTGCAAAAATGATTTCCAAGGTGCCTGGGCTGCGTCAGACCCAGGTCCTGGCAGGGAGGCTGGCAGCAGCCTGAGGAAGCTGGCCCTAGGACTGGGGGTTAGAGGAGAGGGGAGCGGTGAGAGATTCTTTTCTCCATGGGGTGGGGGGTTGGTGGCGGTTATAAAGGGTATGTGAACAGGGACTGTGCAGATGGCAGCGTGTGTGGAGTGGCAGGAATCGGTCAGTGTGTGCAGGCTTGGGAGAGCAAGGGCAGGCAGGGTGGGCAACCGCATGGGGTGGGCTTCTCAGGGACCTCCAGACCTGATCTCGTGCCCTTGTTTCCTTCCCCTACACATCAGCCATTTTTCCCATTTGTGCTCTGGAACTTTCCTTTCTTCCTGACAGATTTCTCTACTAAATTTGACTTCGTTTCAACACTTTTGTTGGGCAAATTACATTAAGATGAATGTTGCAGGTACCCTTTATGGTTTATTTATCGTGATACTGTTTGTATCTCACACTTATAAATAACTTATGTTATAGCTTTTGTTTGTGGAAATGTAACTTACATATTTTATTACGCTTTCTGTAAACCTCAGAAAGAATCTTGTCAAGGAAGCGCTCTTATCAGCAATCCAAAGTATGGGACGTAAAAACCGACACTAACATTATTTTTTAATATGCCAAGGAGGCAGGTTACTCTTGCTGTAGTTTGAAAGGTTTGCTGTCATTGTAAACTTGCACCTCAATAAAACATTTAAAAGTCTCAAGAATAATTTTAGAAAGTTCAGGGAGGAGGATGAATCGGTGGCAGAACCCACAGACCCAGCACACAAGGCCCAGGTCCTGGACTGGCCTAGTCCCACTGGGTGTGTCAAAGTGTTCCACATCGGGCTGTCCCACCCAACCGTCCCCTAGGGAAAGCTGTGAAGGACCTAGTTCAAGGGATTATAGTGGAAAAGAAATATGAGTTTTGAGGTCAGGCAGATCTGACTTTGAATCCTGGCTTGTCCACTTTCTAGCTATGTGGCTTTGGGGGCAGTCTTTTAGTCTCAGTTTTCTCATCTCTAAAATGGGGATAATAATTCTTGACATTCTTACTGGGAAGCATAAAGTGAAATAGCAATTTGCAATGCTCAGTGGGTGCTCAATAAATGAAAGCAGTTCTAATTATTTTATGTTCATCTTGAAACTTTTAAGACCAGGAGTGGTGGCTCACGTTCCTGCACTTTGAGAGGCTGTGGTGGGTGAACTGCTTGAGCCCAGAAGTTCAAAGCCAGCCTGGCCAACATGGCAAAACCCTGTCTTTATAAAAAATACAAAAATTGGCCAGGTACAGTGGCATGGACCTGTAGTCTCAGCTACTCAGGAGGCTGAGATGGGAGAATTGTTTGAGCCCAGGAGTTCGAGGCTGCAGTGAACCATGAGCATGCCACTGCACTCCATCCTGGGCAAGAGTGAGATCCTGTCTTTGAAAAACAAACAAACAAACAAACAAAAAAAACCTGGGCTGGCCTCAGTGGCTCACACCTGTAATCCCAGCATTTTGGGAGGCCGAGGTGGGCGGACGATGGGGTCAGGAGATCAAGACCATCCTGGCTAACACGGTAAAACCCATCTCTACTAAAAATACAAAAAATTAACTGAGTGTGATGGCATGTGTCTGTGGTCCTAGCTACTCAGGAGGCTGAGGCAGGAGAATCACTTGAACCCGGGAGGTGGAGGTTGCAGTGAGCTGAGATCGCGCTACTGCACTCCAGCCTGGACGACACAGCGGAGTCTCAAAAAAAAAAAAGTTTACTCTTTTTACTCTCCCCTGCTTTTCTCTGCAGGCACTCCTTTCCCTCCTCATCATAAGGAGCTGAGTTCTCTTAAATGATACTTCCCCCAAACTACTGAACATCTATATCAGGTTTCCCGTATGCCAGATCTTTCCGCTTCTCCAATTTTTCTCACCAAATCTACCCCATTTTTGGTTCTCATGTGGAGCTGTTGGCAGTTACCTAATCTGGCTGTTAATCTCAGCTAACAGCTACATGGCAAGCCACTTTTGCATTTTGAAAAGGGCCCCCACTACCTTAATCTGAAGGTACTTCTAGGTTTTCACAACCAAGGAAGGGAGTCCAGAAGGCCAGGAGGGCTTTTAGTTCAGATAATCAAACAGAATGCAGGGACTCTACACTCCTTTGTCCCCCGCTAGAGAAGCCTGATTGGAAAGCACAGAATAACAGAAACATCCGGGACACAGGCAGAATACAGCTTTCTCAGGAGCCAGGTTCGGAAGTCAGTATGGATGGCAAAAATTGAGCAAAGTCCAAATCCCTTCAGACTGTTTCTTGCTTGAGCATCCCTGAAGCAGCTGGCTTGACTTAGCGCTCACACTGCATGAGCAGTCCCTCTGTCTGTACCCTACAATCCCATCAGAAGGGTGAGGTGTGCAAACAGCAGCCACACCTCCCATCTCATCCTCTCTGAGCACATGTGTGAAGTGGTCGGCCCCTTGGAACTGCCAGCACAATCTCCTGTAGCTCAATCTGAGTAAGCTGGATACACGTGTGATCTGATTAGACCAGCAGCTCCATTAGTCGTCTTTGATATAGCCTCCACTGCTGTGTGTGTGCGTCTTTGCCTGCTTTATCCTTGGGACAGGATGTTCCTACAGGGCCCACTCCCACATGGAACTCCAGGTCTCTTCTCAAAGAATTCCCATGGTCCCTCACCAAGGCAGACCCTGGCAGTTTGGGAGGCGGAGTCCCCCAGATCTTGTTCTCATCCACTGTGGGATGAGTGTGCGGTATGTGTGATCCTTAAACATCCCGGCTTCCCCACTTCCTTTTCCTCCCTCAGGAAGGGCTCAGAATGGAACCTGGCCCTCTAAAAGAAAAAGGATTCCTTTGCAGGTTTTAAGAAAGAAATTTATAGCTAAAACTCAACCTCTCTTGCAAAGGCCAGACAAGAGTTGCAGCAGACAGCTTTGAAAATGGCTCCCAATAATCCCCACCTTAGTGATTTACCTCTAATGAACAGAATACGGCAAAAGTGATGGGATGGCCCTTGAGATCAGGTGACAAAAGATGGTGACTTCCAGATTGCTGCACTCTCTCTGGCTCTTCTCCGATGAAACAAGGTTCCACGCTATGTGCTGCCCTGTGACGAGCCCACGTGGCAAGAAACTGAGGCAACAACTCGTGAGAAACTGACGCCTTCTAACCATCACAGGTGAGCCTGATGCAGAGCCTTACCAAGTCAGGCCTTGAAATGATCACAGCCTGAGAGAGCGAGCCTGAAACCCAGCTGCAAATTACTGACCTACAGGAACTGTGAGATAATAACTTTTGCTTTAGGGCACTAAGTGTTGGGGTAATGTGTTATGTAACAAAAGATTCTGAGAAACAGATGATAAAGGAGCTAAATATTAACTGGTTTCAACTCATCATTCTGAAATACAGGTCTTCCTCACAAGGGGCCAGGAATTTCTTTGAGGTGAGACAGATCTGGGTTCAAATCTTGCCTGTGTGACCGATGTAAGCTAGAGACACCAAAAACCTTGGTTTCCTTATCTGCAAAGTGGAGCTAATGCTGTCTAAACTTTAGAGGGCTGCTGTGAGGACTAGAAGAGATCACACATGTAAAGGGCCCGAGAGATGTTCAATAACCGTCTGCCGAGTCTTCTCTAGCTGATGCGTAATGCCTGCAGTGTGTTCTCGTGAGGCCAGCTCTACTAGCAGGTCCTGCTGACGTCAGCCGTGGGGCAGGCCTGACCAGTCCGCCGAGAACAGCTTTCCAAGGCCAAGCCTGATGGAGCCTGTCTTGTCTGCTGTGAAACCACCAGGTGACCTCTGGTAATGTGGGAAAGAGAAGTGAGTGGCCAAGGTCATTTTCTGGTGAACATTTTAATGCAAACAATATGGTGCTTTTAGATACTAGACATTCGTAAAGAAAACCATGCCAGAATGGGACAGGCCTTCTTTAACACACTTTTGTGGGGTGAGTGTGCCGTTACAAGCCTCCAAGAAACAGAAATTCTTGTCCAACTTCTCTGAACAGCTGATGTTTTATAGAATTCAGAATTTGCCTTCTCAAGGAAAATTATATTTCCCATTTCTACTGAAACATAGTGTAAGGCCAAAGCTTATTTATCCATTAAATACTAGAAGTAACCCCCTATATAATATTTGCCCCTGATTTCCTTCATACATGGAAGACAAACATTTTGAGGTAAACCTGAGTGACTCTGCTTTTATATGACAAGTCTGCCACAAAACTCAACTATCAAAGAAAGGTTTCAAGAAACACTAGGCTGAGAAATGAGATTATAACAGGAGCCTATAGATTTACGTCTTGTTCAACTGTAAGGCCAGCCTTTCATGTCTTACCAGAAATAAAGGGCATGATATTTATTATAAGCCTGAACCATAAAAACGAGCAGTGAGTTAGAAAAACCACTTGGCAGTGGGCAATCTGAAATTAATAGCCTAGTAACAGTATGGCATAAACTGCAAAAGCCTTCTTCATGTTCTGGGTTTGGGTTAAGTCACAATCCCAAATCCCAATGGTAATAGGAGTTTTTGTGGAGAGTTGGAAACCAGCTGTTTCTGATCCTTGGAGAATCTGAATTTTAGCACCTAGAACTGTTTGGGGTAGCCCGGAGAAGGCAGAGATGCTTCGATAGTATATTCTAATCATTATCTTCACTTTCTCTTAAAAAATTAAATGGAGGCAGAGAACTGGGTGCTGGTACCACCCAGAACTTTAGACTTGGGCTACATGACTCCTTCTGAAGAAATGTCTCTGCAGGCAGTAATTGCATGGCTTAATTCTTCTAGACTGAACCACTTCAGATTTATGCCAGTGAAAAGCAAACGTTGTTTGTAAGTCATTTAATTGTGTTACTGTCTCTCAACTTTATCAGATGCAGCTGAGGCAGAGAGGCCTGCGTGTGGTCCTGTGGGATGCTCTGTAGTGCTTCCAGGCTCGTTCTAAATGCTCACAGCCCAAAGTCCCTAATGCTGCTTCTTCCAGACACATAACAAACTACTAATTTAACAGGTTCCAATGGCATTCGTCTCAATCCACGATCCACGTTGAAGGCTGCATCTCCAACAAACTGACAGCCTTGATTGCAGGACCATAAACTAGTACACACTTAGGTGCAAACCTGGTTTATTATGTTCTTTGGTTAAATACTGTTTCTATATCCTTTCAGAGCATTAAGAGAACAAAGATGGTATTTGATAGAAAGACTGAAAAGGATGTGAAAACACATCCTTTGCTTTTCAGAGAAAAGACTGAATTTACACTGTGTACTATTATAAATTCTCATAATTAGGCTAGACGTGCAAGAAGGTAGGGCTTTTGTTGTGGTTAGCATATTTTGAAAAGTAGATTCCCCTGGGCTAGCCAACATCACTGTTCTGAGACCCGGACCTTCAAGAGTCTCTTGATAAAGGCTGCTCCACACATGGTCAGAAAAGTCAGGTCAGCTCATCATGTCCAGACTGCATGGTTCGGTGTGGCCATCACTGCGCAGAGCCTCGGCTACATCTCTTCTGAATACAGATAGGTTTTGGGTGAACCTGCAGAAAAAGGAAGAAAGGGTCAAGGGTAGGAATAAGGCCAAGCCTCCATGAATCTCTGGATGATAAAGCCACTCTGGAGTTCAGGACTTTGAGGACCGCCCCTCCTGGAGGAAGGCTCTAGATTTCAGCTGAGCTCCCTTCTCTCCACTTTCATGGCCATTCCTGTTCCGCCAACAGTACCATCAACCTCTCATCCCTTCCTGGAAAACAGGGTTGACACTAAATCCACTCTGAACATCTTGAGGTGTACATTTGGTGGTTCTACTTTTAAAAAGCAATTTTAGAAAAGTTAAATTACACATAGATGATAAGGATTATTTTAAAAAGAACAAAAGTTTATGTGGCAAGCATTGGATTGATTTTACCAATAAAGTCATTTAATCATCACAAGTCTTCCCTGAGGTAGGTATCAGTATCCTCATTTTACAGATGAGAAAACTGAATTTAGTAGCTGAAAAAGAGGGGGCACTGGGTTAGACTACCTGGGTTCAAATCCTAGCTCTACCACTTATTAGTCAGGTGATGTTGGATGAATATTTAGCTTCTTGTCTTGGTACCTAATATGAGTAGTTACCTCAAGGGATTGTAGAAAGTGAGAATTTAGGCTGGGCGTGATGGCTCACACCTATACTTACAGCACTTTTAGAGGCTGAGGCGGGTGGATCATCTGAGGTCAGGAGTTAGAGACAGCCCTGTCAACATGGAGAAACCCCATCTCTACTAAAAATACAAAAAAATTAACCAGGTGTGGTGGTAGGTGCCTGTAATCCCAGCTACTCAGGAGGCTGAGGAGAATAACTTGAACCTGGGAGGTGGGGCTGCCGTGAGCTGAAACTGTGCCACAGGAAACAGAGAGAGACTCTGCCTCAGAAAAAAAAAAAAAAAAAAAAAAAGAATTTATTGGGTCACTTTGCTTGAGGCAATGCTTATAGGCCTGTAAATACTCAACACAGTGCCTGGTACATGGAAAAGAATCAGTCCTCTCTGGCTATTTCTCTCATTAAAGTAGGAGGGCCATCTGCTCATTTCACAGAGCAGCTCAGGAGGCAGTACTCAAATTTCTAAGCCTTAGGTGAAGCAATTTTCCCCTGAGACACCTAGGGCTTCCCTGTTCAAGTCTCATCTGCTGGCTTCTGAGGTTGTCACTTTCTGCATGATCGAGGATCTTGAAGTGAGCAGTCAAGGGAACATGTCTGCAGATCCCAACTGACTTGGCCATGTATTACCAAAGCCCTGGCTGGTAACTCCAGAACTCACTGTGGCTACTGGGATGACTGACGATTTGCATTTCAAATGGAGCAGCATTTGAACCCTACCACATTTATAAAAGGATGGTGCAGGCATTCCGCCCCACCCCCCCGCCGCCCCGAACATATATTCTTTCTTCATCATTCATTACTGTCTCTTCCACTTGAATGTAAGATCCATGAGGGGGAGGAAGCTTAAATAATTGGCTTAGCACTGGTAACCCCAATGCCTACACAGTAGATTCTGAATAAAGTGTTGCGCACTAAATGAATGAATGAACAAAGACAGATGTAGCTGATAAGTTCCAGGATCCTTTCATTTAGATTTCATTGGCAACTGAGATACCAGCCATTTTTTTTTTTTGAGACGGAGTTTCACTCTTGTTACCCAGGCTGGAGTGCAATGGCGCGATCTCAGCTCACCGCAACCTCCGCCTCCTGGGTTCAAGCAATTCTCCTGCCTCAGCCTCCTGAGTAGCTGGGATTACAGGCACGCGCCACCATGCCCAGCTAACGTTTTGTATTTTTAGTAGAGATGGGGTTTCACCATGTTGACCAGAATGGTCTCAATCTCTTGACCTTGTGATCCACCCGCCTCGGCCTCCCAAAGTGCTGGGATTACAGGCTTGAGCCACCGCGCCCGGCCCCAGCCATTCTTAAAGAACAGACAGAGGAAGAAATTAATACTGTAGGTCAGATGTCCCAGGTGCCAGGCTTCACTATGTTCTGTCATTTAAACATCAGAATTGATTATTATCATCTCCATTTTACTGGTCAAGAAACTGAGTGAAGAAGTTAACTGCCTACTGCCATACAGCCTAAAAAGGCCAGTTATAAAATATCATCTTAAACAATTTTTTAAATTAAATTAGATTAAATTAATTGTATTATTTTTGAGACAGAGTCTCACTCTGTTGCCCAGGCTGGAGTGCAGTGATGCAATCTCAGCTCACGGCAACTTCTGCCTCCCAGGTTCAAGCAATTCTCCTATTCCCGAGTAGCTGGAACTACAGGCGAGTGCCACCACGCTTGGCTGATTTTTGTATTTTTAGTAGAGATGGGGTTTCACCACGTTGGCCAGGCTGGTCTCAAATGCCCAACTTCAGGTGATCTGCCTGCCTTGGCTTCCCAAAGTGCTGGCATTACAGGTGTACGCCACCATGCCCAGCCACAATTTTTAAAAAAATTGACACATAATATTTTTACATCATTATGGAGTACATGTGATATTTTGTTATATGCACAGAATGTGTAATGATCAAGTTGGAGTATTTAGGGTATCCATTACCTGGAGTATTTATCATTTCTATATGTTGGGGACATTTCAAGTCTTCTCTTTTAGCTATTTTGAAATACACAGTACATTGTTGTTAGCTATAGTCCGGATCCTACTTAGCTGTAACTGGGGTCTGTCTGACCTCAAGGACTATGTCCGTTCAAATGCCAAGAAGTCTTTCATCATTTTCCATAGCAGATTCGCACCTTCCTTCTTTTCATCTTTTCAATTATAGTTATTTTTCATATCTCTCCTGTTGAATTATAAACTGCTTAAGGGCAGACACTACATTTTATTAATCTCTGTATCCTTATATAATGCCTAGTATGACACTTGAAAGAAAGAAAATAACCAATAATATTTACTGAATGGAATGGAACTGGGTCTAGGATCACAAGGTGTAACAGAAAAGGGACAGCTGTATGTGAGCTGTGTTAAGCACAATATAGTTATTTTCAACAAAGCTGGGATGTCTACTTCCCCCAGTGACACCCTACTGGGCAATGCTCACCTGTCTCTGTTCTTGACGGACAGGTTCTGCTCCACTCCTTCCATTAGGTTCCTGAAGCACTGGGCAAGGACTTCCTGCTTGCGGAGAGGCTGGCTGTTTATCAAACTTGCTCTCAGTTCACTGAAACACTGATGGGAGACAGAATAGTGTCAGAGCTCTGACTCCAAACCCGGCCTGAAGACAGCTCGTAGGGAGACTGCTAGACCAGCTCTCGTCTACTCAGGGCTCACTAATGCTCAGAGGAGTTTTTGTCTAGGACCACTTTGAACCTTAAGCCCTTAGAGAAAACCTTTGCGACAGAGACACTCCTAGTTATAAATTCTCTGATCCCTTCCATAAAATGTCTTGCTGTAATTGTTCCATTGTCACTGCTTAGGCTGATGAAGTCCTTGCCTCCTCTGCGGGGATGGAATGCATGCTTTTCCTGAATCTCATCTCTACTAATCACAGAAAGACTGAAATGGGAGGGGTCTCAGGCTGAAGAAAATAACTAAAAATGCCCAGGGAGCATTTTAAGTGACTGATGGCAAGGCCAAGGGTCTTTCCTCAGGCCCGATGGTCTTTCCTGGCTTCCGTGAGTCACTCCTTGAACAACTTCAGGCTTTGTTCCAAGTCTCTGTCCTTGTGAGTTAGAATGGGTTTACTCCTCGGAGGTGGGGTACTAGAGGGGCTTGCTTAGTTTGGGGAGAGCTTTCTGGCACTAAGAAAAACATCTGTCATGCCTGGTCACAAATGTCTGCACAGCCCTTTCTTCCCTGCTGGGGACTGTGGGTTTTTATACAGACACAAGCCCTGATGCTAAACGCAGCTCCTAATCACTGGAAACAGCCTAATTTCAGCACAAAGACAACATTTTGCCAGTCATGCATTTATTCTTCCAAGCCCAAAAAGCATGATATTTAATTTCCATCATACATTAAAACAGCTTACATCAAAAAAACACACATAATTAATATGTAGTCAGGCTAATACTTAAATACTATATATCAGAGGCATTGTACTTAAACCACAATGTCTTACTGAACAAGATTGGGAATGCACAAAACTACTTATTTTTCCCTTTTATAATGATGCAGTGACTCACACAAAATAGAAAATTATTAGTTTTTCATACCAAACCGTGAAATATTGCCTCCATCAGTAAAGTATAATATTGTGATGTCATAAGCTTTTTCTAAACACTGAATTTGCCCTTATTCCCTCTCAATCATTTTAAAAGAACTGCTCTCTTTTATAGAGCTTGGATTTAAATCACAATAACACTGAGGGAAGATGAATGACAGTGCTACTGAATGTGGCTAAAATTGGATACTTCAGCACAGGTGAATGATGAGACAGCTCTTCTCTTTTTGATATATTTTCTTTTTCTATTAGTTTCCTTCCAAGGCTGGGATTTTAGTTTGAATTTTAATGCTTGCAGCTGCCTCTAATCTCACTGTCTTTTTCCCCAGTACTATCTTATTGTATAGACAATTCATTCTCCCAAGCTGTAATGCACTGTTCCTCTGACTACCAGGGAGATGCGTGAGTTCAAGAGGAAGCCGGAGAGGCTTGGAGGCATCCCAGGTGGCGAGTGCTCTAAAGAAGCTGGAAACATGGGCTCCCAGATGAAGGGTGCTGGTTCTGTGTTGGAATCCCTGATGGGTCGCTGCTGCCACCACCTAGGGCAGTGGGGATCCCAGATATAAAAGATGGCCAAGGAAGGCAAAAGGGGTTGTTGCTCAGAATTCCCCTGGAATTAGGGGGAGGGGAGTGAGGATGAGCTTGAACCACCACTGAGCAAACCACCCGCCTGGTGAGTGGGGGCTCTGGGTTCCAGAAGCGCTTGTTTTGAGGCCTCTGCTTACCTAAAAAAGATCTGGGGCCTTTGGGGAAGAACCTTCTAGGGAGTACAGCCTCACAGTGAGTTCTCAAGGTCCCCGTTCAAACTCAGTTGGCTCTGCTCCTCTGTCCTTTGTCATAACAGTTGAGCCTAGTTTGTAGCTCCTCTCTTCTAGGGACCACCTCCCGTGACTTCCTGCAATCACACTCACCTTCTCATTGAGCAGGATGAGCCCCAGAAGAGGCCTGGATACTGACCACTGGTTCCGACAGTCTTCAAAGACAATGGTGTTCATGAGGACAGACATCATCTAGAAGACAGAGTCAAAAAAGATTGAGATGCCTTGGCTCAGAGTTCTCCCTAGTCCCAGGCCTTTCATGTGCTCAAATTCCACCACTCCATATTGCTAACAGCTGTGAAAGCTCTTCCTGGACAAACAGCCTAGACTCTGGAAGCTTATAATGCTGCCTGTAGAAACGATTGGCAAAGACTCCCAGCTCCCTGTGGAAGAGTTTCTACTCTGAAAGCCTTAGTGAGAACCTTCCAGGTGGGCAGAAGTCAAAAGGTCACACTGGGGCAAGATGACCACTCCCTGTCTTTCAACTCTGATATGCTTTCTTCTATGCTAGGGCACCAGGCAAAAGCTCAGCTCACTTTCCTGTCTGCCTCCCATTTCGCCTAAGAGGTCATGTTATAGAGAGATGAAATCTCTCCATGGCCCCTCTCAGAGAGAGAGGGCAATGGGACCCTGGAACATCATGTTTCCTGCTGGCTCAGGCTGTTCAAGGTTTCTCTTCACTCTTCATTCACTAATTCACTCACTCACTCACTCATTCATTCCTACATGTACATTACGCATCCGTTCTCTTAAATTCAGTCTGTGAGATCCATAGGGGAGATAATACAGGCATTTACCACAACCTCTGACCTTAAGTAGCTTGAAACCTCCTGGGGGAGACTACTTAGAAAAGAAATAACAGGAAATAGGGCTGGGCAAAGTGCAGTGGGCATGCAGAGGGGGGAGGGATGTCTCTGGGTCCTTGAGAAGATGTCAGGGAAGATTCCACGGAGAAGGTAATATTGAAGAAGTTCATTATAAATGTGTTCTAAGCAGAGAAAGCATCAAAAAAGCAGGGTGGGAATGAACACAAAGGGTTCTGCAATGGTAAGAAACTTAGCATGACAGGAGAGAAGGGAGGTGGGCCAGAGGTGAGACACCAGTGCCAGACTGGAAGACCCTGCTGAGGAATCTGGACTTCATCCTGATGGTAGTGGGGAGCTAGTGATATGTCTGCAACAAAGGCGAGACATGCTCTGATTTGCATGTAAGAAAGATCTCTTTGGGGACACGTAGAATGTGTCCTGTGCAGGTGAAACAGGTGTACTGTGCAGAGAAAGACCAGGGATAAGGCTGCAGCGATAGTCCAGGCAAGTGGCTGTGAAACAGTTTTCCGTCATTCATGGGGAGCTGATAATACAGTTTCTGCTTCTTGGACTCTTTACCTCTTACCTCTGAGCCCTTCTGTTCCCACGGCTCCAGAACTCCTTTCCCCAAAAGAGGGCAGGGGAAATGGCAATTACGTGGCAAAGACCACTGCACACACCACCCCTTATTGGCTTTGGTGACTTGAATTGTTTGGAATACAGCTGGTTTTGTCCTCTGGTATTTTTTGAAATCCAATTTACCCTGTGATCTCAGGCAAGTAACGGAACCTCTCTCCCTGTGTCTCAGTTTCATTAACTATAAGGAGGGAAATAATAATCCAGCACAGGGCAACTCTGAGAATCAAATGAGATAGTGTATATGAAATTCATTGCAAAGAGTAAAAAGTGCTATAAACATTTAAGGTATATAGTAACAGTAATGAGCTTCTCTGTAGTTCTAAACATCTGCCATTCTATACATCATCATAACCATTAGGCTGGTTGCAAATGAAATCTGCCAATTACATATGTATTGTATGTCCAGTCTCTCTGGGGAGAGGCTAGGACTTCAGCCTGGCGTGTTGAACATCATTTGCAGATCACATGTTTCCATGTACAACCTAACAAGCCACCCAAAGTCATAGAGCCACAAATTAAAGTGACAAGCAAAACTAACAGATCCACCTAGACAGTCTAAAATATTATGGGCTTCACAATCTGAAGGCAGAACAGATATTTTAATGGGAAAGATTAAAGTTAGAGGCACCAAATTCCTCCAGTAACTGACAAAGCATCTTGAAGTGATGTGCCAATTACTTTCTATGGTTCTCTTGCGTATTCATTTGTCTGAATGCATGTATTTATGTCTGTAATAAGTTAGGAGATGTTTGAATAAAACACTTTTCTAAAAATAAAGTTGGCTAAAATGGCTGATTTTTTTTTCTTTTTTATTCTTCTGGAAATATGAAAATTAGTGAGCAAATTTGCTTTAGTGGTACTGACATGGCAGCCCACATCCAGAATTATTTTTTCTAATATCCTACAGTAGGGTATGGGGGACGCAGCCAACCAATGGGCAAATTCCTTTGGAGAAGGACCATGTGGAAGAACACTGAATGAAATGCTTAAGCCCAGAATCACTTCCCAGGTCATATGAAATCTCTGGTGGGAGGCTTTCTGTGGTTCACGACACTCATACATCAATACTGAAAGGAGACAGCTCTCCACAATTCTGGACCGCCCAGCCCACAGTGAGTCACAAGGCACCCTCAGTATTTGGTACAAGAAATGCCTGTGTGAGCGGGGGCTCCGATCCTTCAACTTCTACTCACTTCCGATGCTGCTACAGGGATGGCTGGAATGGCTGTTTCAAATTCGCCCAACTTCTGGAGGTCTAGATCTAAATAAAATAAAACTAAACAAATGTGCCCAGCCTAGACTACATTTTCTAGGGCCTATATCTGAAAACACATTCAATATCTACCGTATTACCCTGTGCAGCTATTATGCCAAACCAGGAAAAAGCCCATTTCTGAGGTGGAGTTGTATGACTTGGTCCATTTAGGAAAAGCTCACGCCACACTGCATCAGGTGCTTCCTCATTATCCTCCATCCTTCCCACAGAATCTGGCAGGAGTCTTAGGAAATTTCTCTCAATGAAGAGAAACAAACATGGTATGGCAAAGCCAGGCTTTGGAGCCAATCAGAATGAAGCCCCAATCTGGCCCTGCCACTTAACTTAGGACACTGGGCAAGTCATTTTACTTATTTGAGTCTTTGTTTCTTTCCATATAAAGTGGAGGACAATAACAACTATTTTAAAGGGCCGCTGAGAGGAGTAACTTCTCTGCTGTATATCAGGCTTCGATACTGTGATTGCCACATAGCCGGCCTTCCACATCCTGCTCCTTTACTGCTGCGGGTACTCTCTCTGGTCCAGCCCAGTGGAATTTCATGGCTCAGTGGAGGGTCCCAATTCATGTCCTGATTAGATCCAGGTAAATGAGATTACAGTCTCTTTGCAATTCTCTAACTTTGTTGAGGGTTGCAGTACAACACATGCACATACACAACTAACATAGTAGAAACAGTTCGGAAAGCATCCTTATTTGATCTGGCACATGTATTTGTAAGAATTCTGAATGGCCATGTTTGTGTTTTTCTGAAAACCTGCAATTCTAAATAAAACACAAAATTACTCTACAAATATCTGTCCCAGAAAAGGAACACAAAGCAATGTTGTGTGATCGATATCTCTGTTCATTCCCTTGCTCCTCTAGCTCTCCAACCCTTACCTGGAGCAAATTGGACTTCCCTGCGCAAATATGCTAAGTCACACTTTCTCTATGGAAAGGTGGTAACTAAGTGCTCACTTTATTATTTATTTATTTTTGAGACAGGGTTTCACTCTTATCACCCAGGCTGGAGTGAGCTCTCAGCTCACTACAACCTCCGCTTCCTGGGCTCAAGTGATCCTACTGCCTCAGCCTTCCAAGTAATAGGGACTACAGGCATGTGCCAACACCCCTGGCTAATTTTTGTATTGTTAGTAGAGACAGGGTTTCACTGTGTTGGTCTGGCTGATCTCAAACTCCCAGCCTCAAGTGATCTGCACGCCTTGGCCTCCCAAAGTACTGGGATAACAGGTGTGAGTGACCACGCCCAGCCTGTTCATTTTTGTTTTTTACAGACAGGGTCTCAGTCTGATGCTCAGCCTGCAGTGCAGTGGTGTGATCACGGCTCACTGCAGCCTCAAACTCCTGGGCTCAAGCCATCCTCCCATCTCAGCCTCCCGTTTAGCTGGGACTACAGGAAGGTGCCACCACACTTGGCTAATTATTTGATTTTTTGTAGAGAGCAGGTCTCATTTTGTTGCCCAGGGTGGTCTCCAATTCCTGACTTCAAGCAATCCTCCCCCCTCAGCCTCCCAAAGTGCTGGGAATGAACCACCGTGCCTGGTCCAAATGCTCAATTTAAACCCCTTCTGTTCTGTCTCCTGCTGAAATAGACAAAGACATGGTTTGTGTTAGATGTTTTACTGCTAGACAGTGAACTGTATTTTTTTCTAAGAAAGTTGAAGGCTCAGTGGGTCTAGAATCTGATGGTTGGATGTTATTAAAGAGCAGGATGGTTGGAGAAATAGGAGCAGAGGCTGAGAAAGTAGAAAAAGCCAACTTGACTGAATACAGGGTGATGACAACAGTGACAGTTGGGCGGGGAGACTAGATTGCAAACTCCTGTGGCTTTGCATCCCCAGTACCTAGGGTTAGGCACTGGCGCACATCAGAGATTTAGAAAAGAGCAAATACATAAATGAATCAATGCAAAAGGATGAATGAAGTATCAGAAGCTAAAGTATAAAGAGCTGAAGAGTTGAAAGGGCGCTGTACAGAAAACAGGGAGGTTCTTGCCTTAATCTATGGCTTAACTTAAAATGGAAGTAATACATTGTTCATTTTCAAGGATGTTGCTTTTGTGTGTATAGCCTGAGAACTCTTCTATGACATTGCTGTCTTAGAGCCAGCTGCAGAGAGTGCCTTTGTAGGGGCTTGCAGCTTACAAAGGTCAAAGGCTGGGGCACCATCATTTCTAATAACAAGAACTTTCACCTAAGAGTAGGCTGTGGCTGACAAGTTTTCTCGTCACCCGACGACAGTAATAACTCTCATTTATGGAGCATCTTCTGGGTGCTCAGCATTCTGCTGGGCACTTGCCTATGCCATCTCTAATCCTCAACTAATGGTGGGAAGTAGATATCATCCCCATTTTACAGACTAAGGATCTGAGGTTCTGGGCAAATAGGTAACTTGTTCAAGGTACTGCAGCTACCACGATGTGAAGCTGAACTGGGATATGTGCATAGGTCTGCCTAAGTCCACCATGCCA